TTCGTTATTAAAGCTCGGGTCCTTCTTGTGCTGCTGTTCACTCTACTCCGGTTGAAACTTAACACGATCTAATGCTTTACCTCCATATCACAACATGTGAACCTTTCAAAACCAACATGAATATAAATGAAATAACTGGTTTAGATCAAACACAATGAGAACAAAACACAACCATCATTTATCTAATATTCCTATGGTGTTACGGGGGTTGCCAGTCTGGCCAGTGAAGAGCAGCAGCCAGGATCATCCAGCCCTGGTGAGCAGCCTGTCACTGCCCCTCCTCCTCCTCTCTCCCGAGCTGCTGAGGAGCACAGCTGAGCTGAATCTGGTTGATTACCAACACCTGTATAAAAAGGCTGTGCCTTCAGCAGTCTGGGAGGCAGCAGTGCAGGAGTTCTGCTGTCCTCCTGTCTTTGGGGTGCGTGCGTTCGTTGTTTTTACTTAAAAGTTTAAACTCTTGGATGATCCAGAGGGATCTTTTGTGTGCAGTTTGTTTTTGGGGTTAACTTGGTTTGGTGCAATTTAGCTGACTTCTGTTTAAAACACCTTTGTTGCGGTAAAGCTTTTAATATAAGTTTTTACCAGGTGTTTTAGTCAGCAGATTATTTTAGACTTATATCAACTTCGTTGTGCTTTAAGAACACCTTCGTACGGTTAAGCTTTTAACAAAGTTTTAACCAGGTGTTTTTATCGTTGATAATTTGTCGTTGTGATCATAACATTTTAGAGAGTTCTGTTTGCTTGTTTTTTAGAACCTTTTTCAACAATAAAATTATTTTAATATCCACTGTCCAGTTCTTATGTTATCCCCATCCTTCACATTTTACCATCTCATGTCGGGGACGTAACATACTGTATGGTCTGTCACAACAAAGTCAGGAGGGAATACTTGTAAATTAAAGACTGTAACGGGCTAATCTACTGCTTAATCTGATTCATATTTCACTGAAACATCCTGGTATTATGACAGGCTGCATGTCAGGAGCATCAGCCTTTGATGTGTTATATATAGCTTAAGTGAAATGGATGGAGTCACATGTAGGTGTGATTGTACGTCAGTATGATAACAGCGGTCTTGTGGTTTCTGTCGTTCCAAGATCACTCGTTGGCATTTATGTATTTTAAATCAAATACTAAACCATTAAATATTGTAACATTTGTTTTCAAACACATTTTCTTTCTAAAAAAGAATTATGGCTCAGATTGGGAACATATATTACAAGGGATGACACACACCAGCGCCGTGCAGAGACCTTTGACGGGGCGGGTGCTCAAAGTAGAAAAGAAAGGACACTTATAGAGCAATCCAACAAGTTAGAACATTCAGATAAGGAGACCCTTGGGCTCAAACAACATAATAAAAATATATCAGTGGTATTAGTGGTAATGTTAGTTCATAAATAATAGTTTTAGTTTTTAAAGCTGACTTATATCTAGAGATGTTACAACCACATTTTTGCCCCTGATCCGAGTCCAAGTTGTTTGATTTTTGATTATCTTCCAACACTGAGTCCTGTTCTGATACCAGGTGGTGATGCAATGCAGTATAAAAGAAGAAAGAAGTTGTCCTTCAGTCTGTATTTGTCATTTTAGCCTGAAAAGGTCACTCATTCAGGAAGTACATTTAACAGGAATCAAGATTCAAGATAATTTATTGCTATTGCACAGGTGTACAACCAAAGATATTTTGCACCTACTAAAGACAGCTTTAGTAAGAGGTAGTAAAATAAATGCAACCACAGAGACTTATCCAGTGTGATCTACTGCTATGTTAGCTGAGATCTTTTTCCTGTCAGTAGAAAATTCTTGATCCCGTTCCATGATCTCACTGAACTTAACACTAAACATGAGAGCTCTGCTACCAACCTAACAACAACACCCTTTACACAAAGGCACCATCATCACATACGTGGCAGGAGTCTCAGAGAAACTTAGAAGAATCTTCTCCAAACACAACATCCCGGTAAACTTTAACCCAACAGCACCCTCAGACAGAACCTGGTCCATCCAGAAGACAAAACACCCAAACAGAAGCTCAGTGGGGTCGTTTATGCAGTCCAGTGTAGTGAAGACTGTCCAGATGTTTACATTAGAGAAACTAAACACCAATTACACAAGAACATAACACAACACAGGAGAGCCATCTCTTCAGGTCAAAACTCTGCAGTCCACCTACACCTGAAGCACAAGGGACACATCTTTGAAGATGACAAAGTCCACATTCTGGACAGAGAAGATAGATGATTTGAGAGAGGAGTAAAAGAAGCTATCTATGTCAAAACGTGAAAATTCCACTTTAAATAGGGGCGGGGCTTAGATTTCACCTTTCCATTACAAATAATGCAGCTTTGGATCTCATTCAGTTTCAGTCTAGGTCACACCTTCCTGCATCTAATCAACACGATGACTCACCATCAATAGAGGCTAACCACTCATCAGGAGATGGAGAGGTGGGGTACTCTGAGTAGTTTCTGCTCTTTAACTAACAACAGACAGCTACAGCTTATAAACTTGGCTCTCCCATATTCCAGTTTGAACTGACAAAGCTCCTCAGAGGAGAAGTGAAATGTTTTAAAGAAACCAAAGAAGTACAGTTGCCTTCATTTGAACCCTTTGGAGTAATAATCAATAATAAAAAATACATAATAAAGTCATAAAACGTATATAAGTATGCTCACATTCACTTTTACCATCTCTTTGTGGGAGGCAGACGGTGCCTTATCACGGTTAACCGTTAACCCTCAACCCGCATGGTCCTAGTGCCTGATATGTATCACAGTATAACAGTTTTGTACGGTAAAATCTGACGAACGACCGGAAAAAGGGCACTTTGAGCATTTCGGACAAAAGGGGCAGATGCTCAAGCACCCCCCCCCCCCCGCCAGACACACACACACACTAGGGCTGCACGATATTAGGAAAACCTGTGATGCTTGATAACAGTGATTAATATTGTGATGACGATATGACTTGCAATAAATAAATACTTCACTCAAGAACAAACACAAAAAAATCGGAAACAAATTAATTAAAATAGGACTATATACATATAAAACATGGGAAAAACAATAATTGTGACCAAAAGATGTGAGGAAAGGAAAACATAAAATGAAAAGGATCCCAGGATAAGCAGAATTGCAAGAAAGAGTGGAATGAAGCTAACTCAGGTGTTTGCTAACCATCCAAATTAAGTTCTGTCCGCAAAGGGGCAGGTATCTAACCTATAAGAATCCACCTGATTGGCCAAATGGGTGAAGAGCTCTATTTGATTTGTCAAAAACGTCTTGCTTTTGTTTGACTGACAAAATGCATTATGCGTAGCAAAAATCTTAGCAGACCAGTCATTGTTTTTTTCTGTTCTTTGCAATAAGCATATTGTGTATGCTGACATCGCAATGACGATACATTTGCACTATATAGTGCAGTTTTAACACACACACACACACAGAGAGAGAGAAAGCACCACTGGTGTGAGAGGTTGCCTGCGCAATCTGAGCAGGAATAGGAGAAACAGCTGGCTGCAACCACTTCAACTTCAGGATAAACCAGAATCCCAAAAAGAAAATCACCATTTGATGTCACGGACAACTAAAGACGTTTAGACTGGAAAAAAGACCGGTGTTTAGCGTCGTCTCGTTTCCCCTGGAAATATGGGTCTCCGGTTCCAGCAAAAGTGTTCTGTGACCACACTTGTGTTCAAGACCTAGCTTGTTCTGTAGATTTGCTATAATAGCTACAATCTTTGAATGAGACTGCACACATTTTGTTAAGGGCACACAAACAGAAAATATGTACTCATTTAAGCCTAAAATAACTAGAAAAATATCATCTTCCAATTTAATAAACCTCAAACATTCTATAAAGGCCATTAGCACAATAGTGTTTTGAACCTAAATCAAATTTATTATTTCAGGGTTAATAGAGGTTTACTTTGTAAGATAAACACATAAAAAGCGGGAGGGGTACGTGTCATTTCTAAACAAACTGTTTTTCCACATGAGCAGTCAGAAATCATTTCTGCACAAAAGCCTGGCACATTAGGTTCCCTCAGCAGAAACTTGAAAATAAAATTATTTATATCACTGCTGCATACTTAGTTTCCTGGAATCCACAATAACACATCCGTTGATTTGCTCTTCATCCTTTGTTGCATCCAAAACTGTTCTGGTGGAAAACTGAATCAGGACTTGAAAGGAACACAGTCTCACAATTCCATAAAAAACACATGGAAGTCATTGTTTAGGGCTCCGTCTTAGGGGTGGGCTAGCGTGTTGCAGATGAAAAAGGCTAGTAAAGGTTGCTTTTCAGGCTGCCACAATAACTTAGAAATACAAGGTTTAGATAAAAATTAAAACACCAGAAAATAATGAAAAAAAAAGTAAAAATCCTTCAATTTTCTGCGCTTTCTTTAGCCTTACTCCCCTAAATGTATTTGTAAGTGAACAAATAGGCACCTTCCTGCGACCATTGTTGGTTTTAATGTATTTTTAATTTCCCATGAAGTGACTGGAGCCATTGGTGGAAGCCGCTCCACCATAATTGGCTGCTTGTCTGAACATCAGTCAGGCTAAGGAGAGCTGGAGGGAGCTTGGGCTGAGCTCACACACATCAACAGGTTTCACATTTCCAAGTGAGTCCAAACTTCCTCTCGGTTTTCCTCCCTCCCTGTCCTTATGAACCCAAAACAGATACACAGAGATGAACGAGGACAGAGACGATGGCATGAACAACTCCTCATCCTCAGGAAAGACCAGTTAGGACTCTTGTGTTTCTACACCATAACCCGTCGTCGCCTCGCACATGCACACAGAGAACTTCACACGATCCCTTCATTATTTCTGTGTTTTAATGGCCGTGCTGAACCACCAAGGCCTCACTGGGGCCGATCTCAGAGGCCCTGGAGCTCTGAAACTCAGACTCTTCATGGATCTGCAAGTGGACATGGAATATTTGGAGAAGCTGTGAATTTCCAAGCACAAAAACACAAAACCACATTCAAATTACTTTTTTTTCATATAGAGGATTTATTTACACTTTCTATTTACAGATATTTGTTTCTGTACACGGTTTATTTTTTTAAATTCAAGATCCACGACTCCTGTCACCCACACAATCTAGTATTATTAGACTGCTCTCTGAGGCAAAATACATCAAGGGGGAGGGTTTGTTTTTCATGAATATGCTTTACCAAACAGAGAGAAAGACCCAGAAGTGTAATATTTGAAAACCTAAGACTGTGTGTGTGTGTGTGTGTGAGAGAGAGTGGGTTATAAACAGAGAAGCTCCAGACAGACGTCAGCTATCGCCATGGAGATGTGTGAGTGTGTGCATGCAGAGAGGCTAATTTGAGATCACAATCACATCAGTTTGTTTAATAAATGATCACCTTTTTGTACATAGGAGCCAGATGAAGGGAAATGACTGTTTATATAATTATTGCAAAAATAAAGATTTGTTAAATGATCAGATGAGGAGTTTGAGAGCCTCTTTACATAAGCATGCATGTGTGCGTGCGTACACGTACACACGCACGCACGCACGCACACACACACACACACACGCACACGCACACGCACACACACACACACACACACACACACACACACACACACACACACACACACACACACACACACACACACACACACCACTCTGCTTTAAGGCAACATAACTGCCAGAAACAGGAAATATGTCCCCCGTTTCCCCCTCAGTTACTGTTTTTGTCAAGCTTTGTATTTATTGCACATGCTTACAATGATACAGACCTCAACAAATAGGTAAACCAAAACAGAAAAAGCATGATGATGGCATCAGCGTAGGCCCCGCCCACACTACTCAGGACCCATCAGTTCCCATCTCATGTCTGAGGAGCAAAAGAAACAAAAAAATGCAGGAAATGTTCTGATTAGAGTCGGGTTCCTGAGAAACAGGATCTAACGCATCAACAGCCGGAGGGAGTGAATCCTGTGGTGCTTCTTGTTTTGCGGCTATGATCGTACCAGAAGGTTAGAAGATCCTCCTTTGATCCTTCACAATAAAAGTCTCCAATATACAAATACATCTTAAGATTAGAAACCAGTTCAACTGTTTTATAGGCTTCAGATGCTTAGGTATGTGTGTCTGTTTTAGACTCTTATTGTGAAGGACTGTAGCAAATCATTTGAATCCGGCTGTAAACATTGCTGCAAGCTTAGCTAACAGGTGCATGGCACTGAATAAAATGCAGTTCAGAAGCACAACGGGTTCACTTCCTCCTGCTGACGATGACATAGCCTCAGCCTTTATTCTGGACATTTCAATCTTAATCTTGACATTTCTTCCTTGTTTTTTTCTTCTTCACATTGAACTAATATCCAGTCCACATTAGCTTAGATGGCTTCATGGACTAGCGACCAAAACGTTCAACCTGATGAGTAAAACATCCTGACTAATGGACCTGTCAGAGCGGATGAGGACTGTTTACACCGTTTAGCACTTCTACCTTCGTAAACGCTGAGCAATAAGTCACACCCCATTCACGGAGGCAGGCTCAGCATCAAAGCTCGACAGATCTGTTCGTGAGGGGAACACGGGGTAAGAGAGTAAGTTTTATTACGATGCAGCTGCTCAGAAAAATATTAATCTGCTTCAAAAAATAAAAAATAAAACACCTTTCAAATAGTCAAAAACAAAACCATGATGGCGTCTCTAGGGTCAGGCACAACTTGAAAACGTAAACAAATGCCGGCATAAAAAAATAAAATCTAAACGATTTATCTTTAAAATGCTGATTGACAGAATATCTATATTTCATACGACTAATGGAGAAGGAAAAAGGCTGTAGACTTTTAAATGAAGTGCAGTTTTTCTTGTCAGAGAGCAGGAGATGAGGGGTTTGTGAAACTGGTTCAGATTGTAAAAAAAAATCCCAGCGTGTGATCAAAGACTGACAGCTCTCAGAGAGGGGGGAAAAAAACTGCACCGAAACATCCAAAGAAGCACAACACCCCCACTCTGTCTCCCCCTTCACACACCTACGCACCCGTCTCCGCCGGCTCGGGTGACAGTAATGGTTCCTGGCAGAGGCGCTGCAGGACGCTACGGATGTTAACCGCTTTCAATTAAGTTGTGAACCTCTGATTATCTGACCACCATCGCGTTCTGCAGTGCTGATGTCATCGATGATCAGAGCTAGATGCCCGACTGAAGGAAAGAGGCTGCTATTGTTAGAAAAACACTTCACTGATTTATCGGCTCCATCTCAGAGCGTAGGTAAAGGCAGGAAGGCTGGTCTGGATCTCAGAAGGTCCCAGTGTGAGTGGTGACAGGTCTGCTCATGTTTAGATTTCGGTTTTACTTTCATGCGACACATTAAACGCTAACCACAAAGGCATTTTTATGGGTAAAACGTCACAAATCCAAACAGAAAACCAGTTTTTAAAGAAAATTTTATGACGTATCTAATAAGATGTTCTGTGTAGATTTAGCTCAAACAGCCTCATATACCAAGACCAAAGGAAAAAAAAACAACTGAGCTACTAATATAAATCGCCTTTTGTCTTTAATGAGAAGAGCATAATTTGGATTTTTAGAATCAGTTTTTTTTTCTTTTTCACTTCATTTTGCTTTTTGGCGGCATGCAAATATGTTCCTGTGGGATCTGAGGTAGTCCTGTAGTTTGTGTATGACGAGTTATTAAGGCGCAGACCGTTCAGATGAAAGGTAACGTGTTTAATGTAGACTCTTCTGACCTTCAGCCTCCTGCCACTGGGGTGTAGCAGCACACGGAGGGAGGACGACATGAGAAGGAGATGGATTTGTTCAGCTTTCAGGAAGCAGGAGAACATTTTCTGATTTAAAATCTGAATCCCTCCCCTCATGAAGCAAAACCAGGAGAGGCAGCGTTCCATCAGAGCGTGTGGCCAAAAGGAGAATGTACAAGGAAAAATGCCCTTAAACGTTCTTTATCAGTACAAACGGAGAAAAAGGGTCACCTATATTGCTGTGGTAGTGTAAAATAAGCAGAAGCCCGACAGTCCTGCGTCGGGGCTCCAAAGCATCCGTCTCTGTGTCGGACTGCAGGAGTGTTCATTTCAGAGCTGATCAGAAAAAAAAAAAGGTTCCACATCATCGTCATCATCGTCACAACGCTACACCACTTGTCCTAAATCACTGCTTGATTTGAATCTCTTAGTAGCAGAAAGGCCCACAGAAGTCTGGGCGGAGAGGAGAGGAAGAGGAGGAGCAGAGAGCCACACTCATCATCTCTTGTAGTGGTTGGGCGCGTCAGCAAAGGCAAACTTCAACCTGTAGGCTTCAGCCAGCAACACGCTCACTTCCTCGTTGCCCCAGTGCATTGTGGGGAGGTTCTGTAGGAGGATCATCAGGCCCTGGTGTGTGAGAGGCAGAGAGCAAATAGTTATAAAATGAGACCGAACTAATAAAACATCTGCAGCTGATTGGTACTAATATGTTTAAACGGGGTAAAAAAGGACAGAATGAAAGAAATGGAACAACATCTGGACAGGGCCACATTTAGACTCGACTAGACGTTATAACACTAACACCTTTGGGATTTACCTTGTAGTCTGGATGTGAGTTACTGTGAGGAAGAAAACTGGATGTCAAAAATCCCTAATGTTAGAGATAGACTGACCTGTGGAGTATAAATAAATATAAACGCACTCCTGAATGACTGGTGATCTCATTTGTTTCGAGCCCTGGTTGATTGGAAGCTCATGGAGGAGCTTTTCCTCCTGTTTTAATTGAGAATCTGAAGCCATTTTAAATGCAACAGAAATATGAAGAAAACAGAACAAATAATTGTTGTCTGAAAAATAACCGAAAAGAATACGTCAACAGGCAGAGCTTTTTACACACAGTCAAACCCAAACACATCATCCGACCACGAGCAGTTTAAAGCTCTGTTACCATGGTGAGTTAAGTCTCCAACTCTTAGACTTTCAGCTCAGTAAGATGGGTTAAGCAGGGAATCTCTTCCTGTTACAGCCTCCAGGGTCATGTTAGCATGGCTGAACTGAGACCATAATGGGCCTGGAGGCTGAGCCAATGGGGCAAATGTCAAGAACCGCCATGTTTTATTCATTCTTTTACTTTTGTCTTGTTTTTATTCCACAGGTGAAGTTTCTGTACAGAAATGACCTGACTTATGATCAGTTTGTGCTTTGCTAAACTGGAATGGTTTAATTACAAACGTGAGTAAAACAAAACAAACAAATCTGGAGAGAAGGAATGAAATGTAAACTACAATTCAGAGGAGCCTTTCCTAAGATACATGTTTGCTAGGAGATAGAGACCACACACACACGCGCGCGCACGCACAAGTTCAATCTCGCCAACTAATGCTTCTCTCTCGAAGGGGAATGAGACTGGTTAGCAGTAAGACAGAGTGAACGTGTGTGTTGTGTATTGGTGTCCCAGAAGCTCCCATCATCAAGGCTGGAATCATCGCCATGACAACAGGGTTTACAACCAATCACAGTGTTGATAATCACACCAAAAGTCAAATCCCGCTGGGACTTAGGTGTCTGCCCTCTGCTGGTTTGAAGCTGTCTGAAACGACGCCGTCTTCTCACCAAACACTTTCCACCGGTTCAGATTATTCAAATTCAGACTCTTATTTTACAACCAAGTCAAAGAGCTTCTATATTTTCGTGCACTCTCCTTCAACAAACACCAAAAAAGGTCAAACCATCCAAATATTGAAACCGATATTTATATATTTTATTACAGCAAGGCGCTTTGCATTAGTTTACCCTCCTATCTATTAAACTAAAGGTGTTTGTCTCCTATTAATTTTTTTCTTCCACGCTCGGTTTTAATGAGCCGGTGAGATGACCCCGGTGACACTTCAACAAAAAGAATTTGTATTCCGCTTTGGGGTGGAAAAGTACACGTTATATTCGACTAATTAAACTCCAAACTGCTACGGAAGCCAGATTTCACACGTCAGACTTCACCTCGCTCCCGTCTTCCGAATAAATTATAAGCAAACCCAACTAAATCAGATCCTCTGACACAGACTTTATTCTAAGATTTGTTATTTTTCAGAGCTAAGCAAAGAGAGTGGTCGGTAAGTACCTTATTGACAAATTTTTTTGTGAGCTTTGGCGTTTAAAATGTGTAAAAACCCTGCTGGATTAGTTAAAAAATCCAGGTTGTGAGAGCACACTGATAAAAATGCTAACCAATTCAGCCTCCAGTGTCTTCGGACATAAAATGGGATTTTTCATTTTCACTATTAGAATATCCAATGCCTTAATAATTCTACAAGTGGAAAAAAATCTATACTGGTTGCTCTTTTGAGAAAAAGCCATGCACCTCGAGTTGGAGCGACGTACCACATGACGTCCCTCTTGAGTTCAGAAAGCCGAAGGCCTCTAAAGTGCTCTCCCTCTGGGGAGCGAGAGCGCAGCCTGATCAGAATTCAGCTCGGCCTTCTCTCATCTGTATTCAAGCGAGCAGCACCATCAGCTTTACCCTCTCATCACTCGCCCTCTCGCGTATGCATTTGTGTGAGCAAAGAGCGGCTTTGTGTGTATTTTATTGTTTTTGAGAGAGTGAAAACAGCCACGTGCCTTAAAGAAACTAATTAAACACCATTATAACATTTGAACAGTCGACGCTTGGCTGGATACGTTGGAGGCTTTTTAAACTGAGCAGAATTCATCAGTTAGTCGCTAATTTCACTGAATAATAAGGTTAAAGAGGAAATTGTTTTCAGAAGAAAGGAAAACCGGTCTTCGGAGAATTACTACAGTAACTAATTGAACAAAGTTGTGTGAACATGTGTAAAGCGAGTAGTCTGTGCATCTCTCTGTGTGGTCCTGTATGCCTGAGGCTAGACACTACGCTGCTCCCCTACCTTACTTGACTGCCCCAGGCTTTTCACGTAATACCTCCTATGGAACAGCGTTAGTGTTTCCTGGCTACATTAGGCTGAAATGTTTGGAGAATCCCAACCTGATCATTGAGCTAACTTTGTTCCATTCAAAGTCAGTTTTATACACGAGTGAGACACAATGATGTCCTGTCCAATGACTGAAATATCCAGCAGAAGGTCAGGAATGGTAGCATGTAGCCCTAAAGCAACAGCTCTGTTTGCGTGTGAGTTTCCATGTAAACCACGCTTTCAGCGAACTCAGCTGGAGGATAATATTGGTTAAGACCAGATTGATGAGCTAACGGCTAGTGGCCAATACTAATAGGGGTTACAGCCATCTCAGATGTTCATAAACATTTACAGTACAGGTCAGAAGTTTATAGACATCTTCACATTTGTGTTTTCTTTATTTTAATGAACGTTTACTTTGGTAGATTCTCACTGAAGGCACCAAAACTATGAATGAACACACGTGGAGTCACCAAAAAAGGTGAAATAACTGAAAACATCTTTTATGTTCTTATTTTCTTCAAAATAGCCACCCTTTGCACTGATTACTTCTGTGCACACTCACATTTTAGATGACTTTTTCTGAGACCTACATGCACCCGTTTAGAGTTGGGGAAATAAATGAAGCAAAGCCTGAAAGTATTTCAAAGCCTGGGAACCTGATTGGACTCTAAATGGGAATTTAAGGTAATGAACTTGAGTGGACGTCCTTGTAAATAACCAGGATTACGGAGAGGTTTTTAAGAGCTAAGGCGGAACGGTGTTTATTTTTCTATTTTTACATTCCGTGCTGTTCCATCTAATGATAGCCAACTTAAATGACGTAGGGTGGATCAGCAACTCTGCTCATAACTTTATGTGGAAAAAACTCTGATTTATCCAAAACGACTCAGATCAAAACGACATCTACAGCAGGTGAGATATTAAAGAAAGTTCCACAGAAGTTCACTTCAAGAAATTTAAACTACTGTTTGAATGTTGCAGGAGGGTCAGCTGGCATGTTTAATCCAAAAGACGTGTTTTATTACCACAGAGAACAGCCATTTCTGACAGCAAACAATGAGTCACCGTTTCACCATATCTTCCCAGCAGAAATAAACTAGAGAGTAAATCTGTCAAATACCCAGGAATTGTAGCTGTCACAAATGATGGATCGAAAAAAGCAAAAGCAAAACCTGTTATATGCTGTCAAAAAAGTATATATTTCCACGAATCAATCTCACCTGATGGTGAATTATAGACAATGACAGGAATGCAAAAGCAAAACTTTATTTAAAGCCTTGTGAAACTTAAAAATGTGTTTTGAGCCTTTTCATTTTACTCAGACGCCTGACTACCGCTGTGTGAAATGATATTGTTTGATGACGGAAGGAATTTCAATTGAAAGCCACTGAAGTCTGGATTAAATGAACACATGAATGGATAATATAAATATTTTTATATGTCAACATTAAAATCAAAACAAAACGATGACAGAGATATAGATGTGCTGAAATATTAATATGGAAATAAATATCTGAAAATTCCTTTGAATTTTATAATACAGTTATTTTGAATAAAGACTCTCTTTCCACCAAAAGAGCTGCTCTTGCATTTGAGGCCTTTTATTTAATGATGCTACTTTTTTTTATGAATTAGGAAGAAATTGTGGGCATGAACGCCAGTTCAAGAAAAAATAAAAACTAGGTAAGGTTGAAAATCTAAACCTTTTAAATAAACCTTGTACTGGAAGATTTACACACTAAGAAACAGCTTTGAATACAACTTATATTTTATAAAGACAATGTGGAAAGCTAATGATATTAAGAAACCACATAGACATGAACTAACGTTAGTAAAAATGTAATATATCCCAGATTATCTAGCTTGAAGGTGCCTGCAGCAGCAGAAAACAGTTCAATCATAGAAACTAAAAATAAACTTTGTGACATCGTTTTTAACATTTCCCTTTTGTATAAAGGAGTAGCAAGCCTAAATTTGTCCCTTATAAAAAAGATTTGAACCGCAGGTGGAGGAGTTTTAAATGGCCTGCAAACCAAACTGTTGACAGTACGTTCTCCACAGAAACGACTAAATGAGAATGAAACCTGCCATGTGTTTCTGGCTCTTTGTGAATCAACCAAAATGACTAATTACTGTGCTACATTAGGACCAACTCCTGTGCAATCAAGTGCTGCTTAGAGTGTTGCAGCCAAAAGAGCATACATGAGACAAACACCCCTGCATGAGAGCATGTGTGCATCCTTCAGATGAGTACACATCCATAGTGACTGAGGAGCTTCATTAGGAGGACATTTCTGCATCGTAACCATCTGCTGGCTCTGGCGACTGTTGGGCTAACAACTTTAATACGATTTAAACGCATACATTTCGCTGTCAGGGGGAATGCCTCAGCCTCTCTACTCCACACAGGTGGTAGTCATCTACACACAGAAGCTGAGGATGTTCCTGTGATTGGATGAGGGCAAAAAACAGGAA